TATTTGAAAAGAATCCTTAAAATAGGATGAGTTTTTTTCGTTTTTAATATAGTCGGTAGTTATCTGGACTCGGTAGCAAATTGGATAACTTCATGACGTTTAAGGCATATAGTACTGAGTTCGAGTCGTGGAGTGAAAATCAATTTTGGGATGCAAGTACATCCAGATGACGAGTCTCATCCTGAATTCCACTACTAGCGAACACATATCACTACTTTTAATGCTCGCGACTTAAGGCAATATCGAGGCAATGTTCACAAGCTGTACATATGTCAAAACAAAGTGATCAACTGAAATTCTAAATGTCAATGGAAAGATTCAAACAACCAATACAAATGAATCTATATAGTCTTGTTTTTACTTTGTTCAGGTTTATCATCAGAACGAAGTTTGTGAAAATGAGTATAGCAGTTTAAGCATTTTCGTTTAAATGACTGTTAACATAAATAATAACTTTAATCACTGAAATAATATAATTCAGAGATCTTAGATGTCTACTGATTTTTTTTATCTATACAATGAACTCTTATCAAACACTTGATTCAAATGACTTTGAAACTTTCTAATATATGGAAAAACTCACAACTATGTCCATTTTATCCAGTTAAACATACATTCAAGGAAGAGTGAATTGGTGTATTTTGCGAATTTGTGCTTATTAGCTCTTATTGGTAGTTGATATTTTGCGTACAAAATGTTGGCAATTCGGTTTCTACAACAGCTGAAATCATTTATTTAATTCAAGATAACTAATTACTATATAGACGTAAATTTCTTAATAGTTTTCTTATACAGACTTTTTAAAAAGAACTTGAGTGAAAATTTAAGGAGTGTTTTATTTGTACGTATACGCCCTGTGACTCATTGTTTACATTAAGTATACAGGGAACTTTATAACACTCACTCACATAAGGATATGTATGTGTGCTAAATGTAATACTTTTCAAAATCTCTACCATCTGGTTTGGGTAACTATTGTCTATTCCATTTAAGGCTTGTTATAAATTGAAACCTCAAGTAAATTTGAGAATAATAATTTAAGCTGAATCATTTTATGAATTGACTGTCATCAAATTTATGGTAATATCATTAGTATTGTAATACATAATTTGTCAAATGAGTCATTGTGTAATTTTACTGGTATTCGTCATTCAACTAGATCAGTGTGTTAGTACAATAATTAAAATTTTTCATATGATTAAGTGGTCTTAATAGTTTAATGGTTGAGTTCACGAGTCAATTAAAGCTAGACCACCATAGGAAACCTGGAAGCACTGGAAGGCCGCTTCGTCCTAGCATGGGACTCCTCAGTAGTGCGCAACCACGACCCCTCTATCGGGATTCGAACCCAGAACCTATCGATCTCGCTCGCGAACGCTTAATTTCTAGACCGGTGAACCATCATCCAACAGTGTTAATGTCTAGCTTAATTGATTCATGAATTCAACCATTAAATTACTAAATATTTTCTCGTGTGATAAGTGACTTCAAGTTTAAAAATGAATTTACACTAGAATAAGGTTATAAAAAGGATTAGACAAAGCAGTTGAATATCATCTTATGAAACAGAATTAACAATAAAACGGAACAAAGGACATGAAAATAAATAAATTATAAATTTAGAGACTGTGATTATTGAATAAGTATAACAGTTGAACATGTTTTTTATCAATCATCGAAATTATTTAAACATTTGCTTAAGATGAAGCGCAAAGGTGTAGTTGATAATTAGTTTTACCATTGGCTAACGCTTCTCAATGCTGTACACTTATAATACTATTTTCGAGTTTATAGGTACCAAGTACCAAGGTTGGACTTATTATTTGTAAATAAATTGGGCATTGGGTAGAGTTAATAATAAATATATATTTTTCTTACATTCTAATGAGTAGAAACATTGTATTCTTGAAGTTCCGTGACTTAATATAAGTCACTTCTGAAGTCATTCTGAAGAAGTGGCTTGTCAATGAATACACAGAACACCGAATCATTCATGACCAGTACGACAAATTCAAGCTGCTGACTTTAAAATTTTCCTCTCGAGTTTTCAGTTAAAGCCAGCTAGAATTATAGTAAGATCATTGTCTGATATAATAATTCATTATTGTTTTACTCTCAAAATGACTGAATTTTTTTTAGTTACGCCCCTCCTTGGAGCATTATGAAACGTTTCTCTAAGTCATTAACTTATAATAACAAAATAACAAAAGTTTGTTTACATTTATAGTTGTACTTGTTTTGATAATCACTATTACTCATCAACTTCCCCATGATCATCAGTTGATGTTAAAAAAGCAAGAATCCTAATTAGTATTAGTAGGAATATATGACCATATGCAAGTTTTTCAAATTTACTCATTGTTTGTTATGCAATAGACAAATTTTATATTCCCCAATCAAATTTTAGACTAAACTACTTATTTACAATGATCTAAATTACAGAAATGAGATATTTAAAAAGAATCTGTATTTTATTGACACTCCTGTACCAATGTATATGTGTTCAAATAAATAATAAATAAATAAATTTTATTGAGAAAAGTAATGGTAAACAAAGAATGAACAACTAAAAGGTGGAAGGAAAAAAAAATGCAAAAAACAATATTCTACTTTCCTTTTTTCTTTTTTGGAACTAAAGAAACATCTTAGTGACTTACAGTGACTAATGCTTCTGTTAAGATACATCATCATTACCATTTTTTAAAAAAACAACATCAAAATAACATTAGTTCTACACTAGAAAGTCATATTATTTATTTTGGGCTAAAAATAAATAAATTATGTATAACTGTTTACCAAATACTTTTATTATTCTCTGTAGGGTTAGAAAGCTTTTTCATATTTTGTTAATAACAAGGCATTAAATTGTTCCCTTTTTTATTTTTTTATCGTCCCGGTGATGATAGTAATTACAAAAATAAAAATAGATTTATTAAAACATTGAACTTTGACAAGGTGTCTAATAAATTGTGATAAAATTCACATCCTATGAAATCATCACAAAACCCATGTGTTGTAATCATAATTTCATACCAGTTTTCATATAAGTTTTTGTACATTTTATTGAGAATTCGTGAGTTATGGAGTCAATCAATTTAATGCACTAACTCATCGATGACACATATAACTAATCTGATTGAACTGGATTACACTCAGTAATTCCATAACGGTAGAATGCTTGTGAAGAGATATGAAAGTTATTTGGTCATAAATAAGGTCGTGTAATTACGCTTTTTAAAAGTACCAAATAAAGACGACGTAGCTTTTCTTCTAATTTCAAAAAGTTTTTTTATACTGGTGTTTAAGTATACTGAAAACCATTACTGTATGAACAATAAGAGAAACAGTTACAAGTTCACTTAAGTCATTTATAATGAAGCGACATCAAAGTTTACCTTCGCTTCAAGATGTTGCTGGAAATTTTAAAAAAAATATTCAAACTTACTTTTATTTAACCAATGTGTTTGGAAAAATTCCAGAAAGTTGAAGACAACAAGTTGTTACTTTCTCGGATGACTAGGTCAAATTTTGATAGTAAATTAATAAAGTTATGCAATATTCACATATATGTATAGTTAACCATTTTGTTACATAAATAAGTTAAGAGATATTTTCTAAATAAAGAACAAAATAATTACGAATGGCGAGACACAACTACTGACATTTTTAGTCGGTAATGCGCAAAAAGAAATAGTTTTCTTTTAAAAGAAAACCTGATGTAAAAAATGTCCTAACAAATCTTTCAGAGAGATGATAAATCGGATGAAATAGAAAGATTCTAGTGAATTATAACACAAATTACTAGACATATTAGGAAGAGTTGGTCAAGTAATAGGTACGCTATAGAAACATATGACTGTACAGTGTCAAATATTGTGAATTTACAGTGCAAAATGTAAATTAGATAATGGTAAAAAGATGCTTTATATAGTAAACCATTTTTTCCTATTAAGAACTATTATTGGTTTATATTCAGTAAGTTTTCCTGAAAAAGCATTAAAATCTCAATTCGCACAAAACTCGGATGATAAAGTAAACTTTGTATTTTAATTACAATAATCGGTTTATTAGAAACAGTGTATAACTTGAAGTTAGTTTTCCTCACAGACTGATGTTAGTCATTAAACTGTGGGAAATCATATCGGAATTAAGGTGGAACTTCAGCAATAGCACTGAATCAAAGTCCAATCATATCATAACCTGATTGACTGAAAATGGGGATTACGAAATTTTAATTCAATGATTTTAAAAAAAACGCTAGCAGCGGTACGCCAAGGTAACTCAGTACTCAGTTAGAACTACCGAAGCTAAATAAATCAGTCACGTATTTGAAGCATTGATGGCTCATCAACTGGACGGGCCTACAAATCAGAGAAAACAAATCTTGGTCAGTCTATGACCTACGTTATACTCAACTAATTCAAAGACATAAAAGGAACGACACTTGCTTCCTACATCGCACTGCTAGCCACAGTTAATTTGTTCTAAACAACTTTTGACAAAATGGCTATAAATGAGCATTCCTCACAGCACGAACATCTGCCAACTAAGATTGATCATAATCCAATGTTTATCGTTCTTTTTCATTCACCATAATAGAAGCAATGCGTTCCTACAAACTATTTATAATACTTACTAATCTAAGCTAACTACATATAGTTGGTGGACTTGATTCTAATAGTGTTACTGAATAAATGGAATACCACTTGTTTATAAAAACAATGTTATGTGTTTACTTTCACCATATTTAACAAAAAGAAAATCGTCTTCATTAAGATTATTGAAAGCCATTAAGCTTGATACATCAAAAAGTAGGGGAATCGTTTAACAAACTTATTCATTTACTTTGTATATAAGATATCAAAGAGTTTTAATTAAATTTTAAAGACAATCGATTAGTAATTATTAAAACATGTTTTATTATTCTTCATTTTTTTTTGTTTTTGCTTGTTCCCCTTCAAGTAATTTAATAACCTATAAGTTAATTAACCTTTATTTGAATGTCAATCTACTTATGCTTACAATGTTCAATTGTTTCGGGTAATCATCGTAAAAATATTGATTGCCTAACTTGTTTGTTTCAACATTTGGAAAAAATAATAGGGAAATTAACATGTGATATTTTCGAATGTTATTATAGATGTGTACGTATCCTTTTAAATAATAATAATAATAATAATAATAATAATAATAATAATAATAATAATAATAATAATTCTATACATTGTTTTGAATAACGAAGTTAATTGACGTAAATATAAGGTGAGAATTCAAATGAATATGTAATCAGGTACGTATTATTGCGTAGCGAAACAATCGATAACCAGTTTATGATTGAATATGCATTCATAAACAGTAGATTGTTCAGGGGAATATCATTCATCAGTGTAAATTGATACCATAAATAAATAATCTTGTATAGGCTAAAAATAAAGTCTAAAAAATTCAATAGAACATTGATGACATAATTGTTAATTTGAATTACAACATCCAATATTTATTAATACCCAATCTAAATTTTTCAAATGTTTCGATAGTGTAATAAGAAAACGAAGATTATCAGAATTATGTGATATGATTAGCGCAATACATTTCAAACAATCTGATGGAAATTTATCAAAGGGATTAATTACTTTAAATTTCTTAAAAGAAGACTGCCTGTTCAAATGTTATTAAAAATTATTTATACTATAACATAACGAATAAGATCTATAGGAACCAGGAATTTTGTCATCGGATATCTATCGAATAAAGAAAATATTATATTTAACCGTTGACAAAGATAGCATTATAGAACATTATAACTTTCACTTTGTTAGTCTTTTGTTTCAAAACAGACGAAAGATACTACTAGCCGTCATAATTTTGATGAGTACGGTTATGAGTATATAACATTTTAAGTTTTGTTTTGTTAACTCAAACATTTGTGTGGAAAAATCAAAATCAGATATATTTGTTTTAACATTGTAGTTTTATTTCAAAATACGGTTCTTTTGTTGGTCGCCGAATTAGCTTACCCTCTATAAAATGATGTATTTATTGGTTAAAGTGTATATAAATATAAATATAGACACTAATTATACTCATGAAACTTTTCAAGCAGTTTACTAAACAGAACATGTTAATATGGATATTATTCCTTTGACATTATACTGCCTTAAATGCTCATTAGCTACTTTACATTTCAAGTATATACAATCTGAAGTCTTACATTGAATATGAAACTGAACTTATCTAATTAGCTACAAATGTGGTTTTTTGAAGATTATTTTTCAGATGAACAATAGTTTACGCAAACATAATTGAGTTCTATATAAAGAAGAGTTAGTGTATATAAAAACCACAAGTAATTATTTTTATCTGAATAACTTTATTAAAAAAACCACCTTTGAAGAGAAAATTAGAGGGTAAATCGAAAGAATCACGTTTGGCGTTACAAAATCAGCGCCTGTTTTTTTTCACACTAAATGGGATCTATGTCAATCAATCAGAGTTTTACCCAAATTTAAGTAATAGCTATTGCATTATGTTAGATAGCATAAATTAATCAGGTATTGATTAGTTTTTGTGATCGTAACGATGAAATCACTACAGGTAAAATAAGTACATTTCAAGTTATCTATGGTATTTGACACAATTTTTCTTAGGAAATCTGTACTAAATATAAAAATAAATATAAAAATAGACACCTTTTCAATTACAAAATACATTAGGCAGCAAAAATATCCATTGAACTAAGTGGAAAAACTAATATGGTATTATTTGTTTAAATGACTAAAATCATTTTAGTCAATCACTTATTCTTAATCGTTTTACCTCTTTTTCCCGGTCATAATTAATGTGTTGATGACAGATGATACTTTATATTTTCGTAAGTATAAATTCTCTGTATAATCAGATAACATAACGTCTATAAAATCTTAAGTTATGTATATTTTTAAGATAAATAATTTACTAACGATTTATATGTGCCGAATTATAGAAGTTGAGGCTTCGTTTACTAATTATAGTCTCTCATTTTTAAAGCAGTTAAAAATAGAGTTAAACTGTGGATCTTGTAAGCAAAAAAATAAGCTATTTAGTATTTTCTGCAACGTAAACTGCATTATCACCTATTAAGTCAGTAACAATTCCTATTATGAATTGAAGTATAACTGTAATATGAATTACTCAATTATATTCTAGTAACCATTAGTAACCACTCTGATTACATTTTGTTCATGTAAATATGAACAACCTACTCAGTATCCTCGTGACATTTGATAGAAATTTCGGTGTGAAAATTAGTTACATTATTAGTATTGCAGCAAGTCATGTTTTATTTATATATTTCGATTAGGTATAACATTTTGAAATTACAGCAATGATATTTTTCGAATATTCTTAGAATCATATTCTATATCCTGAAAATTTAACTACCTTAGGCGTAATTATTCACTTCGACCATCAATTAAGATACAGAAATGAAGAACTTAATCTGGAGCGATTGAAATATATGCTTCTCGTTAACTTATCTATCCGTATAGTTTTTTCTACTTTTTTATTGCTCTGAAACTAAACGGGTTTTGTTTTTAAAGTTCAAACACATTGAATTGGACACTGATTTATGAAATAAACACTCAAAAAATGATTCTCTAAACGTACACTATTTATTCATATTCTTCAGAATGGAAAAATATGGTTCATAGTGAAAAAAAGTCTTTGTAATTTGCAAATGGAAAATTAAGCTAAACAATTTTTATTTGTGATCATATTTAAATCATTAATTTGCTTAAGACAATATGTAAGAACATATAATTCATGGACTAATCTTAGTTCTTGATTTTGTTAATTTATTATTTGATCCACACTAACACATTCAATACTGCATATTCAAGTTCTTTATCTATAGAGAGTTGATAATTGTAGAAACTGTAGTGTGGCATGCAAGAAGTAAGCATATAAAGCATCATTTTTCATTTTATTATCATCATCATCACCTAATGTTAAACGCTCTGTTATACTGTTTGTTATAACTTGTTGCTTTGTGCCCTAGTAATATATAATGTAATGATACTGCCAATTAGAGAACAGTGAATTATCAACAGGACCAATGAAAAATAAGACTCGTACCAGCAGTCTAGAGTCCTTATCGGTCATGCTTCTTACCTAACCCTTCCTGTTAGATCCAGAACACCAATCTCATCCTCCGCGATATGAAACAGGTATTTCAAACATACTGGGTTTATATACAAAGCAAACAGATCACATCGTACCATGAAATAGAAACAACATTTGTACAAGATCTAGCCATAAGTGACTGTGGATGCGGGAGACTGTAATTACTAGACTGGACAGAACTCAAAAATGGTAATTCGCATAATAGTAGTTTATAGGTCAAAGTCTAGTTTGTAAGAAAAAGAGTATAGATATACATAATCTAGCTACTATATAGTTATACAGTAAGAATATACGTATAATATTTGTTCATAAGTAGTTCTCATAATGTACCATTCATAATTCTCGTCAGGATATAACACTATTTATACCTATCCTTTGTTTTACTAATTCCCCTATTTTTATTTACTTACTTACTTACTTACGCCTGTTACTCCCAATGGAGCATAGGCCGCTGACCAGCATTCTCCAACCCACTCTGTCCTGGGCCTTCTTTTCTAGTTCCATCCAATTCTTGTTCATTTTTTTCATGTCTATTTCCATTTCTCGGCGTAATGTGTTCTTTGGTCTTCCTCTTTTCCTTTGACCTTCAGGATTCCATGTGAGGGCTTGTCTTGTGACGCAGTTGGGTGCTTTCCTCAATGTGTGTCCTATCCACTTCCAGCGCTTCTTCCTGATTTCTTCCTCCACTGGGATCTGGTTTGTTCTCTCCCACAGTACGTTGTTGCTAATAGTGTCCGGCCAATGGATCTGAAGTATTTTGCGTAGACAATTGTTGATAAACACCTGTATTTTCTGGATGATGGCTTTTGTAGTTCTCCAGGTTTCTGCCCCATACAGTAGAACTGTCTTGACATTTGTATTGAAAATCCTGACCTTGGTGTTGGTTGACAGTTGCTTTGAATTCCAGATGTTCCTCAGTTGTAAATATGCTGCTCTTGCTTTGCCGATCCGCGCCTTCACATCTGCATCAGATCCACCCTGTTCATCAATGATGCTGCCCAAATATGTAAAGGTTTTTACATCTTCCAAATCTTCTCCGTCAATTGTGATTGGATTGGTGCATTCTGTGTTGTATCGGAGAATCCTGCTTTTCCCTTTGTGTATATTGAGACCTATTGCTGCTGAGGCTGCTGCCACACTGTTCGTCTTCTCCTGCATCTGTTGTTGCGTTTGGGATAGAAGGGCCAGATCGTCTGCGAAGTCTAGATCATCCAACTGCATCTTAGATGTCCATTGTATCCCGCGCTTCCCTTCAGACGTTGACGTCTTCATGATCCAGTCGATCACCAGGAGAAAGAGAAAGGGTGAGAGTAAGCAACCTTGCCTAACACCGGTCTTCACTTCGAACGACTTTGTCAACTGTCCTCCATGCACGATTTTGCAGTGTAATCCATCATATGAGTTCTGTATGATATTGACTATCTTCTGAGGCACGCCGTAGTGTCGAAGAAGTTTCCATAGTGTTGTTCTGTCCACGCTATCAAATGCCTTTTCGTAGTCAATGAAGTTGATGTAGAGTGATGAATTCCATTCAATTGATTGTTCCACAATGATCCGTAGAGTTGCGATTTGGTCTGTACACGATCTATCCTTACGGAATCCTGCCTGTTGGTCACGAAGTTGGGCGTCTACGCAGTCCTTCATCCTGTTTAACAATACCCTGTTGAAGACTTTTCCCGGTATTGAGAGAAGAGTGATGCCCCTGTAGTTATCACACTTGCTGAGATCGCCTTTCTTCGGTATTTTGATCAGAAGTCCTTCTTTCCAGTCTGTTGGTACTTGTTCCTCATCCCAAATTTTGCTGAAGAGAATGTGGAGTATCCTTGCAGTTGCCCCTATTTTTAATCTTCAATAATTTATCTTTTCATAAGATAATGTTTACAAATAAACTGTGGGCTTATCTAATAAATCATCTTTTTTTAATTGTATATATAAATATATCTATATATGATGTTACGTAGACTTATTTGTATATTATCTGCAAACTTTCTCATAATATAAATCATCATAACTGAAAACTATGTGAAACAAACATTTTACAGGTATTTACAAATACTGTTCAATAAAAATAATGACT